ATTCCTGCTACGGGGTTTGCAGCCCTTAAATCCTTTCGCTTCTTGGCACAAAAGCTGTCTGTATACCTTCTGCAATCTGCTGCAGCAACCCTTTGGTCCTGTTTTGTCAGCCGTACCTCTTCAGTCTCTCTGGTATCTACCTCTTAAGTCCTCTCACCTTCTACCTGCTAAATTATTTAACGCAGAAATCATGTTAACTGTTTGTGTGATTAACAAATTAGCTTTGTGCAAAGTTCCAGGATATAGCTTGAATAAAAGATTTCTGTACAAATCAAAAAGTGTTGCAAATAATAAGCTGAAAAAGGCTAAATTTGCCCAAAAGGATTCCCAGAGAATGTCAACAACTATTTCATGTATAAAAGCAAGAATAGCCTATGTTAAAAATGACCAGACAGCATTATACAGACCGCGGGCTGAAGGCAGGGGATTTTAATGGCTTAACTGAAGATACAGTGAAGAACAGTGGAGTGATTGAAAAGCGCTTGTTTTAGTTTATAATTATTGTCTGCGAAGTTAAACAGCTGGTTTCTCTTTAGCAGCTTCTCAGTTGCAATTACAAAATATCACAAGATCTTGGAGTGGAGTTTATATGAAAATACCAAATAAAGCTTTCATTTGAACAATCTATATTACTGTTGTTCATCTATTCAAGGGGTTTAGGACAACCTGAGAGATTTGTGGGTGCGTGTTCTGTTAAAAATGGGGCCCAGAGTAAATAGAAACCAAAATAAGTATGGAAATATGGAGATGCTTCTTAAAAGAAATACTTTTATTTTGTGATCACCAGTGTCATGTCTGGGTGCCTTCCAGTAGCGCATTAAGCAGTTACTGGAAGTTGGTTTATTCTGTGCATCAATTATGAGTAACAAATGACCTGGGTTAAAATTGTTAATTTAAAAATTCCTAACAGAGTTCAGGTAAGGTTTGTTGTAGTTACTATTTAGTAAAATTCAGAATATAGCTGAATATATAAACTTTCTGATGGTAACAGATTGTGATTCAGTAGTCTCCAAAGACACACACTTTTAAAAGGTGGGGAATGCATGGAAGTTATTTCATAACATTTCTTTTAGTGAAAAAAATCTTTTTGTCAATGTGATCTTTTGGCAACCTTTTCACAGAAAGTGAAAAATATCTTCAGCTGTACTAAGCAGCTAGAAAAACTTCAGTTACGATCCGGGCAAACAGCTCTGCCAGACTGGGAAATATGTTTCGTTGCTAACAGCGTTTGGTTATTTCTCCCTTTTAGCTACACGAGAACAAGCAGCTTGCTGCTTACAGTGAATAAATTCATCCGTAGTTCCAGGATTTCAGAGACATTGCCTTATGCATTCTGTCAATGGTTAAATGAAAGGAATAGAGATGAGGTGCCAGGGCTGTTCTTTGTATGCAAAGAGTAAGCAAAGGACTACTTCCAGGCTCAGTTTTTGTCTGGCTTCTGTCTTTGCTGCTGCTCAAGACCTCAGCAGAGACATGAAGAAGATCCGGGAACTATGTTTCACGTCCATCAGCAGGAGCTGAAGAGAGATGAAGCTGCCACCTTGCACCAGCTGCAACATCCCACCCACGCGTAAGGTCTCGGTTAGGCACAGGGATGATGGTGAGGGGAAGCCAGGCGGACAGGTGCTATTTCGTTCCGTTTGCTGTAACGCTGTTTGACAACGGAATAGGAAGCTGCAGGAGAAGGCTGGTCCCACCAGATGAACCTGCTCTTGCTCTGCTCTCCCTCGACCACTTGTCTTGTCCTGAGGGGCCTTGGCTGCCTTCCAAGGAGCCGCTTTCCTTTTCCTCCCTCTGCTCTGTGTCATGATTTTTCCTCCAAGGGGTTTCACAGCTGAAAGTCAGGGTCGCTCATAGGAACTGAAAAGCCCAAAGTGAGCATATTCCATCCTGAAAATGCCCCAGAGATGGCATCGTTACACCCCACATCCCTCCCATGAGGAGAAGTGCCAGCCTGCAGCCAAACCCCATCACAATCTCTCAGCTCTTACATCCCACAGAAAGAGACTGGGGTGGAAGAACTTAGAATAAAATATGGCTTCAAATAATATGTTGTAAGTTTGGACAAAGCATTGTTTCAAATAATGCTTTGTCAATGAGGAAAAGCAAATATATCTGGTTTTAGTAAAAGAGAGCGCTGCAGGCAATGACCTCCTGTAGAAGCAGGTCTGCTTTGTACCAGTCTCTGTCCCAGCTGAGCAAAGCAGTATTTTGCTGTCATACACAGGCACGAGCAACTGCAGGATAAGCTTAATAAGACAAAGATCCTTCAGAATGCACCAGCCCAGGCTGGGAGAAGGGATTTAGCTGCTACATTTCAATGCCTACCTTGGGGACACCCAAAATTTAGTAGTAGAGGGGAGCTGCCTTCTGCTTGCCCCTTTCTCATCACTCTGCGTAACAGCATCAACAACAAAGAAAGGCTGCAGAAAATTAATTAACTTTGTGGCAAATATCCCGAAGGCCCTGCAGTCAAAACACGAGCATCCTTCTTCCGGCACACATAAGTGATGCTCATTTTTTAAAAGTGTTTCAATAGTTTTTCATAGTAAAGAATATCACAGGCATTAACTAAGCCTAGAACTACAATCTGACCATTTAAAAGGCGTACTTTGGAAGAAGTTTCTAAGATTGTTCAAGGTACATAATTAATAAAATAAATTGGCTCGCATCACAAAAGTGAGCATGGTAATTGGATAAGCACGTTAAGTGGCTACTCTCCAGTTGCAGCTGATCGTATTAGTTATTGCCGTTCTGTCAACACTGTGTAAGTACAACCAGAGTACCTTCCTGGAGGTCTTTCTTTTATGAACTGCTTACTGCAAGTAGTCAAAGTTCAGGTGTGCAAATGACTCTAAGTCACATAGTAATATGTTTCCTGATTGACTTACAGAGCTATAAATTAAAAAAACAAAACAAAACAAAAACAAAAACCAAACCAAAACAAAAAAACACCGCCAACCAAAAGCTTTTGTAATTAAAGGGCTGGAAGCAAGTCAAAAATTGTCAGACAAAGCTTGCTGATAAGAATGTGCAAACACACAAAAAAAAGTTAAAAAAAATAAATCCAGAATTGAGAAACTGACTATAGTTTTCCTGCTTTCTTCCTGGTACAAATTATTTCATAATATAGCTGAATAAAGTTAAAATTGTTGTTTGTTATATATACAGTAGTAAAAACTACACCATTTAGAAGAACTCAGCTTCAAAATAATTCTTTTTCTTAAAATAACTGACATTTTCTCTGTCCGGTATCATTCATGATTACAAAATAAGTGTGCAAATACAAATCAACCACAAGGCACAATTTAAATTGTAACAATGAATTGATTCTTCACATGCAAA